GGCTGGAGTTTGACTCAGTGGTACAGCCCTTGCCTAGTATGTCAATTCTCAGCATCCCATATAAATAAATGAAAAAAATAAAGTCCATCAACATCTAAAATATATGTTTTTTAAAATTATATTAATAGTAAAAAGAAACTAGGAAGGGGTGGAGCCAGACAGCATGTAGTGGCACTGGAACATGCAAAACTTGACCAATATCCTCTTTAACACCCTGTCTTTACCAAGTGTGTTTTATGACCTTTATCCACAGCATCTGCTCACTGTTACCCTTCTTTTTAGGGACCCACGATCACTTGTCTTTTGGCTTCACCACCCAAACCCAGGCAGCTCAGCTCACTGCTGTCAGAGTATCCTCCATCCATCTCCTGTATAAGGACGTGAGATTATATTTGTCCCAGTTGCTTTATTTTGGGAGGAGGGGGTGGGTACAGGGGATGAATCCAGGGGCATATAACCACTGAGCCACATCCCCATCCACACCTCTTTTTTGTATTTTATTTAGAGACAGGATCTCACTGAGTTGCTTAGGGCCTTGCTAAGTTGCTGAGGCTGGCTTTGAACTCGAAATCCTCCTGCCTCAGCCTCCTGAGCTGCTGGGATTCCAAGCGTGTGCCACCTTGCCCAGCTCCCAGTTGCTTTTAAGAAGTCAAAAACTGGCCCTCAATCAGGTATGTTTTCTTTGGCCTGCCCAGTGTTTGGGGAGTGTATGTGTGAAATGTAAACTGGGATGCTTTCCGTCCATCATACATCACCCTGTAGCACTTCTTCCACTGCCTCCACCCCGGTGTCCTGTATAAGGCTGTCCCCAAGTTCATATTACAGTCTTGCTTTCTATGTCACCTACAATGAGTGCTGTGTGCACACATTTGACATATGATATGCTTCCTGATACAGATACGGACCTCACACAACTGCTCAGATTTTGCTTACTCAGAATAGAATCTTACTCAGAGCTAGGATCTAGGACTCTAGAAAGATCAGCCAGCTACTGGATAGTTCCTGATTTAGAGTCATGGAAAATCCTGGCTTTACTGCCCAGCTAGAAAGTCGACTTTTGGCATTTTAAGAATTAAAGTAAGAATTTAATCTACACAGAATCTATTTTATCCTTATCAAATACTATTTACTGATGTTTCACAATGTTCTGATGACAAGAAGCATCAGGGTATTAAGATGATACTACCTTTCAGGGGCTTATAACCATATAGGGGAAAAAGATATTTACATGAATATGATAATTCTAGGAAGACCATAATAAGTCACAAAAGTATCACAGAGCAATTTAAGAAACAAAAGGGGAAACCGTGCCTCTTGCCAAATGGATCAAGATGGCTTTGTTTCTTAACCATTTTATAGAGTTGCAAATCAAAATAAATGATCTAATTCAGTTTTTTTACTCTTACGCAGAACTACTTCTAAACTCTCTCTGAAGGTAATTAACCTACCCTGTTTTATAATACCTACAAAGTAGAATTTTCTCCCTTAATTTATCAAATCATGTGATTAAAAATTATTCTTTAATATCCTTAAATGACTCTTAAGCATTTGCATGGCACCTTGTCTGTTTGCACGAAAAGAACATTCCTGGCCCATTTTCCAAGTGTTTTCTAAAATCAAGTATCATATTTGATATCTGAAATTGTGTCCAATTTCGACGAGCACATCATAGCCTGGTGTATGATTAAACTATCTCATCTCTTTATGAATAGAGTTTGCTGTGATTAAATTGTAAACACCTGCACGATGCTATTTTGACTTTAAATTCAAAGGAACGTTTTATCCTGGAGAATATAGATTTCCTGAAATAAGCCTATCACTTTTTCAACCAAGTGTTACAGTTGCATTCTGATGACCTTTGAAGCTTCGAAATATATATGCTTATATGATAAATCCATGTTTTCCTATCATCTTAATGATATCGAAATATATATGCTTATATGATAAATCCATATATCGAAATATATATGCTTATATGATAAATCCATGTTTTCCTATCATCTTAATGATATGTCCAACACATTTTGGATATAGATTGCTGACCTCAGGGCAGCAAATATTCATATTCTTTATAATTTTTTATCTAATCAGTGCAATATGCTTTTTATGTTGTCAAAATCAAGAGCTCAATTTAGAAATTCAACAAGTTTGTGCAGTTTATCGCATTAACATGACTTCTAGATTTTAAAAGATAGATACACATGTACATGCACACATTGGAAAATCAGGTCATGAGAAAAGCTATAGAATTTTGGCCTTCATGGGTTTTTTTTGATGCTTATTGTGATCACACGAATAGAAATCAGTATTATAGATGCACTCCTTGCTAGTCTTGGAGAGAGTGATCCCAGCCAAACTTCGGACAAAACCATTGAGTTCACAACATTATCTCGGTTTGTGTGGTCAGTTGTAGAAAACAGAGACAACTCTGACTGGTTTCAGTAGAAAAAGATTCATTACCAGGTATTAATTATCCTACAAAATCAATGAAAGGGAAGGTGGATCTAGCTGTAGCTGAACTTTGGGAACACATCTCCAAACTTCATTGACTGAACCGCCCAAGTAGATATCTTGCACTCTGCCTATCTGTTCTGAAATTCATTAGATCCAGTTACAAATTCAAGTCTAATACGAGTGTCTCTATATATTAGCAGAAACTAAATAATACCCAGAACTCTAACTCTTCGTCTTTAGTGGCATAGAAGAAAAGTAATTTTTAAAACGTTTTGGCATTAAATCCTCTGGATTTACCCATGTTATCACAATAATGACAGGATTTCCTTCTTGTTTAAATCTGAGTAGCATCACGTTTTCTTTTTCCATTCATTAAGTGATGGACACTTAGGTTGCTTCCATCTTGGCTATTGTGAATGGTGCTGCAGGTGGATGCAGGTGTCTCTTCAACATATTGATCTTTTTTCCTTTGGATATATATATTGTGGTGAGGTTTCTGGTTACGTAATTGTTCTTGCTTTTACCTTTTTTGAGGAGACTTCACATTGTTTTCCACAGTGGCGTACTAATTCCCTCTATTAGAGTATAAGGGCTCCCTTTTCTGCACATCCTCACCAACCATTACATTTCTCCTTCTTGGTCATAGTCATTCTAAAAGGTTTGAAGTGATATTTCATTGTGGTTTTATGTTGCGTTTCCCTGATGAGAGGTGAAGTTGAACAGAAATTTTCTATTGTGTGTAAACATGAGGTTGTATCTATTTAATGATATTGTTAAGATTTTTGAACATTTTCTCTTTTAATCATCTTAACCTTGAGGTTCTTTTATTTCTTTTGTATGTGAAATTATCTAAGGGGTAAAATACTTGCTAAAGTCTCACAGCAAAAAAATGTTAATTCCAAGCAAGTGATTTGAAACTTCTATGTTAAATAAAAGTTAAGGGGAAAAAATGTTTTGCTCATTGATCTCTATTCCTCACAGTTTTCCCCATAGTACCCAGTACCTGAAACCTGGAACTCAAATGTTCATTGAGGAAGGGAAATTGAAATGGATGTCCAGGAAGCCAATTCAGAGTTTTTTCAATAAACATTTCACGGGGATATTGCAGCAAGGGCTTAAGCATCCATTAGATAGTTAGATGAGATGACTTGAGGTCTCTTTTGAAAAACTTTGAGGGCAGGGTCAATGTCCTCTTTGTCCATATTGTATCCTCAGCTCACTACTGTGCCTGACACATAGGAAACAATCAATAAATGCTTGGTCAATAGAGGGATGACATAAAACATGTGTTTCTCCTATCTCCGCCATCTTTCAGAGGTGGACCTTCATATACTGTTTATTCTCCACTTACGTTGTATAGATATTTTCACTTGTAATCGGCCATTTGATTTCCTGTTTCTAAATGGCGGATGAGTGAGTACGTAGATGCACCTTCTATTTAGACTTTGATACTCCATTAACTCCGTGTAGGACTGAGCATCACAGAACCTGTGTGGTTGTCTGATGGGTCCATCTCTCCTGTTTTTTCCCTTTGAGGTGCTGATGATTGAACTCAGGTCTCTGCACAAGTTAGGCAAGAGCTGTACCACTGAGCTACACCCAAAGCCTCATCTCTTTATTGTATGGGAAGGTACCAACACAAACTTTTAACCCTCAGAAGACACCTTCCTTCTGAGCTTAGAAAAAGCATCTTAGCTCCTGAAGCATGACAAATACAGCATGATTAATCTGAGAACAATATTATCATGACAGTTCTCCAAACAGCGTGTCCTTGATGTGGCTCTGTTTCTCTGAGGTGGGGCAAAGGATGATAAGGAGACCTGCTAGTTATTTGGTAAATGCCTCCTTCTTTTGTTGCCATTTTCATAATGTGGGTTTTTCTACTTATTCAAAAAAATTGCTTAAAGGAATTTTTTGGTGTTTCCTCTTCTGCTTAGCTATTTGTAGAAACCTACATTTTATTTTGCATGCAGACCCAGGTCTGTGAATTTCTGTAAATGAATTATAGAAATTATTATTTAATTAAAATACCCAAAGATCAGTACCTTTTAGGAATTAAAGTGAATTTATTGCACATTATGTACAACTCCATGTTTTACTTTACAAATTTTCATTTGGTAAGTTTTTTTTTTTTTGTAAAAAATTGGACTTATAAACTATACCTAAACCAAAAATCTTACCTTATATTTATTCAATAATTTATGTTTTTCAAGGTATTTTACATATTTTTACCTTATTTGATTCTGAGAACAACGTAATTAGATTGTAAGCATACCAGAAACAGTGTTAAGTTTCAATATACAGTTTTGCACATTTTAAATGCTAAAAAAGTAAATGTTAACAATGGAAAGGTTATTTTAACACCAAAACCAAAAGAAAACAAAACAGTGGAACCAGGCTTGGTGGCACATGCCTGGAGTCGTAGCCGCTTGGGAGGCTGAGGCAGGAGAATCACAAGTCCAAGACCAGCCTCGGCAACATAGTGAGACCCTAAGGAACTTACTTAAACCCTGCCTCAAAATACAATGTAAAAAAGTGCTGGGGATGTGGCATCCCTGGGTTCAATATCCAGTACCAAAAAAAAAAAAAAGAAGGTGAGGAGGACTCACATATTAAACACAATGATAATCAAATACTTGAAAATGTTATCCAGCTAGACTGGTTGTGAAAACCAAATTACCTCAAGTTTCTTAAATGTTCTTAATTTTTTCACACATATGTGCACACACCCACATGCGGAGTAAATCTAACAATCCTAAATAACATGAGAAAATTCTTTTAAAAGTTTTTGAGATACTTTTATCACCACACACAGGTAATTTGCTCTAAGTATTGGTTTCTAGATTTCTCAAAATGCTCCTTTGGCCAGGGAAGGATCAAGTTTGTCCTCCAAATTTAGAATAAGAGGAAGGAAATAAAAATTTAGACAACCAGTTGGCTGAGATGTCTCTTCCACCCTTTCATTGGGCTTTTCCTTTGTTGGTCTACTATCCTCCCACAAAACCTTTTTTTCTCTTTGCTTAATATTGATGTCTCTGTTCTTTTTCTTTAACTGTGATAAAATAGAGATAACATAAAGTTTACTATCTTAAACATTAAGTGCGTAGCCCAGTAGTGTTAAGTACATTCTTCTTGTTTTCCAGCCGTCACCACCATCCTTTCCCAGAATTCTTTTATCTTACAAAATCAAAACTGAACATTAAACAATAACTCTCCAGTCCCTCTCCTCCCAGCCTCTGGCCACTATCATTCTACTTTCTGTCTCTATGGATTTGAATACTTGAGGACCTTACATAAGGAGAATCAAACAGTATTTGTATTTTTGTGACTTGTTTATTTCCCTTAATGCACCATATCCTCAAGGTTCATCCATGTTGTAACATGTGCAGAATTTTCTTCCTTTTAAAGGCTGAATAATATTCCATTGTAAGTATGTATCAGATTTTGCTTATTCATTGATTGATGGACCATTGGGTTGCTTCCATGTTTTAGATACTATAAATAATGATGCTGTGTGATTAATGGTCCAGTTTGGATCTGGAATGTCCCTGAAAGTCCCATGTGTTAAGACTTAGTCTTTAGTTTGGTGCTGTTGGGAGGCAACAGAACCATTAAGATGTGGGTCCTTGTGGGAGGTTTTCACTGGGGGCTTGCTCTTGAAGGGGATTGTGAAACTCTGGTCTCTCTTCTTTTGCTTTTAGCCACCATGAGATAAGCAGCCTATTCCACCACATGCTTATGCCAAAATGCATTGCCTTGCTGTAGGCCAAAAGCAACAAGCCAACATCCAGAACTGTAACCCAAAATAAACCTTTTCTCTTTATAATCAGATTATCTTGTGTGTTTAACACAGTAATGGAAAGCTGACTAACGCAATTACTATTTCCACAGAATGTCTTTTTCCAGACTTTCACTGTCAACCTATTAGTGTTTCTAGATCTAAAGTGATTATTTTATAAATAGTATATCATTGGATCATTTTTATGCATTCTGCCAAGTTCTGCATTTTGATTAGAGTGTAGTCCATTTACATTCAAAGTAATTACTAATAAAGAGGGACTTCAGTCATTTTGCTATTTATTTATTGGATTTTTCCCCATTTCTCACATTGCTGTCTTTTTTTGTTGATTTATTTGCAGTGAAATATTTAATACCTTTATTTCCTCTTTTGTACACTCTATAGGTATTTTCTTTGTGGTTCTCATGTTTTAATATCCTAAAGTCAACACACTGATTTAAATTTATGCTAGATTAACTTCAGTAACAAATAGAGCTCTGTTCCCTTAATGTCTTAATCTCTACCCCCTTTCATTTATTAACGTCACAGAGTTATATGTTTTTACATTATTTGTACAAAAACAAATCAACAATTGTGATTTTTATGCCTTAGTCTCTTCAATTACATAGAAAACAAAATGTAGATTTACAAACCACTCTTACGATAATACCAACTTTTCAACTAATAATTATTTTTTCAAATATTAGTCCCAAATTATGTAGGAAACAAACAGCAGAACCACAAACTGGCCTTGCAATATGATTTGCTTTTTATAATTGTTCATGTACTTATCTGTATTTCTTTCTGTGACTTCAAAAACTGTCTAGTATCCTTTATCTCTACCTGCAGCGCTCCTTTATCAGTTCTTACAAAGCAAGTCTGATGACCATGAACTCACTCAGCTTTTGGATAACCTGGGTATGTCTTACTTTCTGTCTCACTTTGCTGAATTTCAATTGAAGGTCTCTCTTTCAGCACTTACCAGTTCACTGCCCTCTGACCTTCAAGTTTTCTGATGAGAAATCTGTTCACAGTCTTACCAAGAATCCTGATATTTGACAAAGTACTTCTATCCTGCTGCTCTCAAGATTCTCTTTGCATTTGTTATTCCACCACATGACTATCTGTTGTGGCCTGGTCCTGTCTGTGTTTGTCCTATTTGGAGTTCATTGGGCTTCTTGGACATTTATATTTATGCCTTTCATCAAATCTGAGAAATTTTTGTTCATGATTCCTTTGAATGATCTCTCTCCCCCATTCTCTTTCCTTCCTTTAAGACCCTGGTAATTCCTGTGCTGGTGTGCTTAAGGGGGTCTTCTAGTTCCCTCAGCCTCTCTTTATTTTTCTTGATTCCCTTTTCTTTCTGTTGTTCAGACTTGCTCATTTCAATAGGCCTTTCTTCGGGTTCATTGATTCTTTCTGCTTTTTGCTTCTATCCTTTCAATTCCTCTAGTGTATTTTTCATTTCAGTCATTGTCCTTTTTAGCTCCAGAATTTCTTTTTATTTTCATTCTTCAAGGCTTTCTATTTCCTTGTCATCATTTTCATTTTGTTGATTATGTTAGTGTTTCAGAGTCGGGACAAAACTTCTAAGATCATCAACTTACAAGGAGGAAAGTTTTATTTTGGCCCATGGTTTCAGCCCATTGTTGCTGGTCCTCCTTGCCTTTGGGCCTGTGGGGGGCATAGTGCATCATGCGGGGGCGGGGGGGCATGGGATAGAACAAAAGTTCACCTCATGGCAGCTAGGAAGCAGAAGAAGAGCAGAGTTCATCTTCCAATCCCCCCTGCAAGGGCACCCCCCACTGACCTGACTCTTCCACGAGTCCCCACCTTCCTCAAATGAGCCACTGGCCGGGGAGCAAGTCCTTAGCACATGGGCCCCTGTGGACGTTACAGATCCAGACCAGAACACTCGCGTATTCTTTTCTTGTGCTTCTCCACATCTTTCCTCAGTTCTCTGAGCATCTTTGAAACAGTTGTTAATTCCTTGCCTGGTAGTTCTGCCATCTGGTTTTCTTAGGGATAATTTTTGGTTTTGGTTTTATATTCCTGTGAATGGATCATACTTTCCTGCATTAATACGTTATTAATTGTATGGACACAGACCATCAAACCTATGTTTCATTTTATAGATTACAAACCATTTTAAGAAGGACAAGTGGAAGGGGGTGGCAGGCGCAGGCACCACGTCTGGCCAGGAAGGTGCAAGAAGAGTCCCCTGAGACAGGCCAAGGAGAGGAAGGAGGAAGATGAGGCCATCGAGCAGAAACAAAGGAGGAGCCCACGAACTTGAGGAGGTAAAAGTGAAGGCTACCCAGAAGGACCCCAGGAATTAAGAAATCCGGCAAAAAGAAAGCTGTTCCTGTACCTGAGATGACGGTGACTGAAGGGTGACGATTCCTTCTTAAACATCTGAGTCCCTGCCAAAATGTTTGCCACCTAGACCTGCAAAGAACCATTGTCTTGGAATCGGTTGTAAATTTAAGAATAAACTTTCATTTAAAAAAATAAAATAAAAACAACCACATCTTTTTGCAAATGCTGTCAATACCGTGACTGCGCTGTATGATAAAGTTTCTTCACAGTGACACAGTCAGCCACCCCCACTGAAAAGGGCAAAGGCACTCCTGGGCTTTAACTCACGGCCTGACAGCCATTAAAAGATGCTGTGTGCTTTTTCCTGTTTTCCACCTAAACTCACAGTTTGTCAGACACCAGAAGCTTGGTGTGTGCCTCACTCACCCACTCTCAGTCCCACCAGCCTAGGAACCAGGTGCCTCATTAAAGCCAGGACCCCTCACCATGGCTCTCCAAAGACAGACGACATGAAGGGACGCTGTTGGGAGCCACCTAAAACAGCAACTTCCCAGGACCCTTAACTTGTTAGTCACATGATTTGTGTTCTCTTCACCCCCCCTACCCCGTGTGTTCTCTTAACAGCTTTAGCAACTCAACCTTATTAAAAGGCAAGCCTGTTTATGCGAGAGCAGCATCAATCTGGGATGTAACTTTTGGTCCAAGAATGACCAGGACAACCAACTCACTACCCCTCCCTTGAAGTTGAAGTGCTTACTCAGGAAAAGAAAAGCATGTACCCAAAGTCAATAATCATCCCTAAACTCTAGTCCATCCCTAACATCCTTTCACACGTGTGCAAACAGCCCTCTTCTTTGTCCTGAGAACCCCTGGACGCTCTCTTGATCCATGCTGTCTCCCTTCTGCTCTACCAAGAAGTGCCAAGAAAAGAGTCAGGTTCCCATCAGAGTGACACCTTTGATATCTGATTCTTCTGATGGAGAGAAGAATGCACTAAGCTGGTAACAGCACTGGCTCCATGTTGAAAAGCATATGCCTGGTCCCAGGTCCAGAGATTCTGTTTGCTCTGGGGTATGGCCACCTTTAGGATTTTCGAAATGTTCCCCCAGGTGATCCTAATAGGAACAGGAGTCTCTGGTCTATACATTCTCTAAGGCGACTCAAAATGGACTGCTCAGACTTTTAGCTTTGGTGAGGATAGAGCTCCTGATTTCCTTGTGAGTGTTCATCCACCCTTTATAATTCCAGGTATATTGTCATATGCCACACATGCATGTTTGTGGGCACAGTTAGGGTTCAGCCTGGTTCTGTCGAATCTCTCTTATTCCATTGTACCCCTCCGATGCCCTCTGATTTTGCTTCTCCTGTCTACACCTGTGTCTTTTTTGGAGGTCTGCCCAGTGTCTCTTGGAGCCACTATGTGTACAGGCACAGAAAGCAGGAGATGCCTGGGCGTGTCCATCCCTCCCTGGCCAGCACTTAGCCAGTAGCCAATGGATGCAGCCCATGAAAGCCCAGCTCTCTGGCCTCCAGCTGAGGAAAACTCAGGTGAAACTCAAGAGTCAGGTCAAAATGAATCTTCTATCCAGGGAACTTTGTCTGAGATCACAACTTTTCTTGTCCTTCCCCCCTTGCCTATCCTGCTTTTCTCGCTCCCTCATTGATTTCTCCTGGGGGCACTTTCTGAATTGATCACTTATAACGTGTCCTGTCTCGAGACCTCCTTTTGGGGACCCAAAGTGGGTCATGGTTTGTTGATAGTCCTATGAAGTAACTAACCCTGGAAGCCAGTTAGTTAGAGGAGGAAAGAGAAAATAGCAAATGAAACATTAATTGTAAAGAAGGAACTAAACGTCTTCACCAATGATTATTCTTAAAGTCAACAAAGAGGATCTTCTAGTTTAAATCTTCATTTGAAAGCTAAAAGATTATTTTGTGTGCTTTTAAAAATTGCCCAGGGACAATTTATGCCACAACAACTGACTTTTCCATCTATTAGACAACAGTACCAAAAGCAAAATATTTTCATATATTTGGTCATCAGAAAGAGTTTCAACCAGGCTGACTCCACCAAAGTTACGCACCCTGATTCCATCTTTTGGTTACTGGAGTGTGACAAGTTCTGACTGCCCATGCAGGGACATGGTTACACGAGAAACCAGAACAGATGAGATTTTTCTCTGTTTTTGCAAGAAAAATATTGGATTACTCTAAGTAGGTCATGGTATTTCAAGAATCATTTGGGGACCACTTGCAGATGGAAAGACACAGTGGATTCAGTTTAGTTTCTGTTTGAGTGCTGCTCTAACAGATGATTGTTTTCCACTTAAGGCTGCAACCTGAGCCAAGAAGTAAATACTAGATCAACCTAAGCTTTCTCTAGGAAGTGGTCTCTCATGCGGAATCAAGGCCAACAGCAGCACATTGACAGTTCTTTGCTGAATGCACTGATTCTGAGGCTAAGTGCAGTAGCTCCCCATTGCTGTAGAAAAGAGTTTTGTTTGGACTCACTATTTTGGAGGCTCGATTCCATGATGGGATGGGCCTGTCATTTGGGGCCTGTGGGAAGGCAGCACATCTTTGAGGGAGCACTTACCTCATGGCCAGGAAGAAAAAAGAGAAAGAGGAAAGAGTCAGGGCCCCTCTGTCCCCTTCAGGGGCTTACCCTCACTGACCTGAAGCTCTCCCACTAGGACCTCCTTCCTAAAGACTTCACCACTTCCCAGTGCATCACCCTGGAGACCAAGCCTTTAAGACATGAACCTCTGGGAGATGCTAGGGTTTGGATAGGAAGTGTCCCCCAAAAGTTCATGTGATGAAGTCTGGATCCCCGATGCAGCAGTGTTCACATGGCCCTTTGAGGGCCTTTGAGAGGTGATTGGATCCCAAGGGCTCTCATCTCATCAATGGTTTAATACCTTCATGGTTTGAAAATGTAGTGGGCTGTTGAGAGATGGTGGGAACTTAGGAGGTAGAACCCAGTTGGCAGAAGTAGGTCCTCAGGGATGTACCCTTGGAGGCTATATCTTGTCCCTGGGCCCTTCCTGTTCTCTCTCTCTCTCTCTCTCTCTCTCTCTCTCTGCTCCCCAGCCTCCATGAGATTAGCAGCTTTGTACTACCACATGCTCCCTCCCACCATGTTCTGCCTCACCACAGGCCCAGAAGCCAAGTGACCAAAGACTGAAACTTCTAAACCTGTGAGCTAAAGTAAACCTTTCCTTTTCTGAGTCAATTTTCTCAGGTATTTTGTCACAGTGACAGAAAACTGACTAACAAGGGGAACTTTCAAGTTCCCAGCTATGGCACTGAATAAAAGGTTCCATTTCCCAAAGCTGTCAGTCTGATGACTTTCTTGACAATTAAATTTAGTAAAGAGTTTTATAGAGAGAAGAGAGAGGGAGAAATTAAGCAAAATGTCCATATGTCATCTGTTAAAAAATGTTTTATTGAGACAATAAACAAATAACATCAACATGCACTAAAATTTTAATTAAAATATGATTTACAACGTTACTATATACCACTAGAAGCATTCTTATTCATGGGAAATTTTGTTTGTATCCTTAGGACACTTGAACACCCCATTTGACTTTTTGGGTCTCCCACCCAAGGAGTGTGTTCTTATAATATCTTTTCCATGCCCATGAGCATGAAAATTCTTCTTAAAGCTTTAAAATACAATGGCAGTATCAATCGTTCTGTTTCATTGCTGGCTACATCACTAAATAGATGTATATTATGTTCTCTTGCCTTCTGCTCAGAAAAATCTAAGTATTGCATTTCTGTCAATCCATTGATTGAAGAGCCTCCCCCACAGAATGTTGACAGCTGTTTCAGACATTTACAAAACAACTTGGATAACAGCTGCAAACGGATTGGCTAAAGAAGATTTGGTACTATGCAATTAGCATTCATCAAATGCACACATTCCCATAGAAAAACCTTTTCAACCTAAAAGTTGACTCTCAGGAAGCTTTCTAAGTCTCCAAACAAGACTTGCTAATGCTTAGTTCTCCATTAGCTCCACTAGCTTTAAATGAAGCATGTTAATGTAATTATTATTAACTTAATGTTCAGTATTGTATATAACTAATATTGCTTTGGTTTCTGTCCTTTGTCCATCTAAACAAACATCCATATGAGAATGCTATCAGGGAGAAAAATAAAATGAATTCCTACATTACACACACACACACACACACAAAACTCATTGTGGTAGGTGATGATTTTTCTATAATACCCTGATAAATCTCTTTTACTTGAGTAAATGTAATTCTCCAGATCACTTAATTAATTACTTTGCTGGGCATAAAGATGTTCTTCATAGGAAGCAAAACTTTCTATGTATTTTGTCATCACTATGTTCAGGAACGCATTAAAATGCTGCAAGTAAACACCCAAATATTCATGGTAATTATTTAGTACAGCATGAGTATGGGAGATGTTTACTTCTTCCTGTATATTGCCTATGTTTTACTTGAGCATGAAATTCTTATATAACTGAAAGGAGAAACTTTATATTATAATGCTTTGAGGCTGAGTGTGGCTGTGCTTGCCTATAATCCCAGGCATCCAGAGTCTAAGGCAGGAGGATCTCAGTTTGAGGCCTGCCTCAGTAACTTAGCGAGGCCCTAAGAAACTTAGTGAGACCCTGTCTCAAAAAAAGAAAAAGGACCGGGGAACGTAGCTCAGTATTAGAGCATCCTTGGACTCAATCTTCAATACCTCAAAAAGAAAAATGTTTTGAATACTTAACTACACGTTAATACTGAATACTGAAACTACATGTTACCTTCAGAGCCAAAGAACCTCTGGCTCTTCAACTATCTTGAAAGAAACTTTCATTTAAAATGAGCTTTTCCAGAAACTATGTTTTACAGATTAGATGATAGATAGATAGATAGATAGATAGATAGATAGATAGATGGATGGATGGATGGATGCTTATTTATCATGTGTATATCTTACTTGGCTGAGTATCTACATAAATTAAAAATTGCCCATTTAAAAAAATTGACTTACTTTCATATTCTTGAGTTGTATGCATTCTTGATATATTCTACATACAACTCCATATATTTTGAAAAATTTCTTCAGGCATATGACTTGACTTTTTAATTTTTACATTATTTTTTTAAGAGCAAAAGTTTTAAAATTTTTTACTGTTTTGATTTTTTAGAGTTCATACTCTGTGTCCTAACATTTTGCTGAATCAAAGGTTAC